GTTAAAGGCACCAACTGGGGTTAGGGGTTAAAGGTTAGGGTTTAAAGGTTGAAAGGCACCAACTGGGGTTAGGGGTTAAAGGTTAGGGGTTAAAGGTTAAAGGCACCAACTGGGGTTAGGGGTTAAAGGTTAGGGGTTAAAGGTTAAAGGCACCAACTGGGGTTAGGGGTTAAAGGTTAGGGGTTAAAGGTTGAAAGGCACCAACTGGGAAAGCACCGACACGATACAGAACGTATCTGGTCCACCCCCCCCCTCTTCCACCGTGACATGATTTCAGTGTTCTCCCTGTGTACCCTCGGAGAAACCCCCTTCATCCCCTCACACCCCTCCCCAGCTGTCATGTTCTGGTACCATTGATAGCCTGGATGGTCAAGAGAAAGTTGATCCACGTTACATCAACCGTGACCACGTGACTACTGGGGCTATAAATAACATCAAGTTGTCATGTCATAGCAGACGTGTGAGCACTGTACGAAGGGAGGTAACCATAAATAATTGTCGCTACGACAGGAGTTATCCGCCTTGATTGTTTTATTTATTGTGTGTGTACAGTCACTTTTTAATAAAACATCCTTAACTAACTACTATTTTAACTGGTTCGTTAACCACTAACCCTAACCCTTGACATTTTCTCTGTGATACAGAATTATGTGAGACTAAACAATGACGCACTGACTCCCAAAGACTCCATCTGTATGTTTTCCTGATAATGTCCGCTAAAAAAACGTTAACCCACGCCATCAAAACAAAAATTAAAAAACAAAATAAAGATATAAAACTTAGTTTTTATTGAGGGGAGTGAAAAATGTGAAGTGTCATTCATAATTTGCATGAAAACGTCTGTATTTTGGTACCTTTAATCCCTAACCTTAGCCCTCAAGATTGCGTGTGGGCATTAAATTTGAGCTGAAAAATAATGGGTGATGCAGTTGTTGCTTGAGTGGCGGGGCTTATGTGGAAAAGACCCGCAAAGCGCTGTATGTTGTACTAGGGAACTGTCTAAAGTAACATATGGTATTTCAACATACAGACCTACCAACATACATATCAGTGTGGGCTGTTATACTACTGTTTATGCTAAAATGTTATAGTAACTTGGTTGTTAATTAATAGGGCTAAGGTGACTAGGTGCTAGTTACACAAACCCAAGGGGTTAATTTAAGATATTGGGGATGAGCAGGCCAGGGGAATCTAAAGTTTAATTAAATGTTATCGGCTCACTCTGGTCGTTAAGGGCTGCGAGCTCTATGCAGGTGCATGAGTGACACGTAATGCTGGGAAGACAACCGCGGTGATTTATGTCTAAAGTTGAGTCCGGGCATGCCGCTGGACGTCACGGTTGGATCATGACTCATGGTCTGAAGGTGGACGTCAGAAGCGATTCCGATGACCTTAGGGACTTATTAGCGCCTGGCCCCGATTTCTGTAGTCATTGGGGCTTTAGATTCGCTGAGTTTTGTCTTCTAGTTAACTTTTTAGGTGGGGTTTCCTTAGTCTAAGGGTTAAATAAAGTATATCGTAGTTACTCTTGACTTTGATTTTTTCTATTTATTTAGTCTAGTTTAGTTTGGTTTGTTTAGGTTTTGTAAATCTCCTTGTACCAACGAGGATGCACGGATGAGTGAATTAGATCACCTCTCGGTTCTCCCCTTACACGAGGTCACAGTCTATAGAGACTTACAACATACATATAAGGTCCCAGTTTAAAGAGACTAAATAACATATTACTACAATCTTACATTTTAAGTTTGGGCCTGGGGGGGGGGGGGGGTTCGTACATGGAATCGTGGGGGGGGGGGGGGGGCTCTGCTTTTAACGATGGTCAACGTCAGTTTATTATAAACTAAAGGCGGGTCAGTGATGACTTTTTCATACCAAAAACTGTGACTTTTTTCTGTGACTTTTTTCTGTGACTTTTTTCTGTGACTTTTTTCTGTTTGTGTTTTCCAGTTACTTTTTCCGCGCACCTATCTGACGCCATTATATTACCTTGTGCACCTATCTGACGCCCGTATATTACCTTGTGCACCTATCTGACGCCCGTATATTACCTTGTGCACCTATCTGACGCCATTATATTACCTTGTGCACCTATCTGACGCCATTATATTACCTTGTGCACCTATCTGACGCCCGTATATTACCTTGTGCACCTATCTGACGCCATTATATTACCTTGTGCACCTATCTGACGCCATTATATTACCTTGTGCACCTATCTGACGCCATTATATTTCCTTGTGCACCTATCTGACGCCATTATATTACCTTGTGCACCTATCTGACGCCCGTATATTACCTTGTGCACCTATCTGACGCCCGTATATTACCTTGTGCACCTATCTGACGCCCGTATATTACCTTGTGCACCTATCTGACGCCATTATATTACCTTGTGCACCTATCTGACGCCCGTATATTACCTTGTGCACCTATCTGACGCCCGTATATTACCTTGTGCACCAATCTGACGCCCGTATATTACCTTGTGCACCGATGTGACGCCCGTATATTACCTTGTGCACCGATGTGACGCCCGTATATTACCTTGTGCACCGATGTGACGCCCGTTTATTACCTTGTGCACCGATGTGACGCCCGTATATTACCTTGTGCACCTATCTGACGCCCGTATATTACCTTGTGCACCTATCTGACGCCCGTATATTACCTTGTGCACCTATCTGACGCCCGTATATTACCTTGTGCACCTACCTGACGCCATTATATTACCTTGTGCACCCATCTGACGCCATTATATTACCTTGTGCACCTATCTGACGCCATTATATTACCTTGTGCACCTATCAGAGTCATCTGACGCCCGTATATTACCTTATGCACCAATCTGACGGCCGTATATAACCTTGTGCACCTATCTGACGCCCGTATATTACCTTGTGCACCTATCTGACGCCCGTATATTACCTTGTGCACCTATCTGACGCCCGTATATTACCTTGTGCACCTATCTGACGCCCGTATATTACCTTGTGCACCTATCTGACGCCCGTATATTACCTTGTGCACCTATCTGACGCCCGTATATAACCTTGTGCACCTATCTGACGCCCGTATATTACCTTGTGCACCTATCTGACGCCATTATATTACCTTGTGCACCTATCTGACGCCCGTATATTACCTTGTGCACCTATCTGACGCCATTATATTACCTTGTGCACCTATCTGACGCCCGTATATTACCTTGTGCACCTATCTGACGCCCGTATATAACCTTGTGCACCTATCTGACGCCCGTATATTACCTTGTGCACCTATCTGACGCCATTATATTACCTTGTGCACCTATCTGACGCCCGTATATTACCTTGTGCACCTATCTGACGCCATTATATTACCTTGTGCACCTATCTGACGCCCGTATATTACCTTGTGCACCAATCTGACGCCCGTATATTACCTTGTGCACCGATGTGACGCCCGTATATTACCTTGTGCACCGATGTGACGCCCGTATATTACCTTGTGCACCGATGTGACGCCCGTTTATTACCTTGTGCACCGATGTGACGCCCGTATATTACCTTGTGCACCTATCTGACGCCCGTATATTACCTTGTGCACCTATCTGACGCCCGTATATTACCTTGTGCACCTATCTGACGCCCGTATATTACCTTGTGCACCTATCTGACGCCCGTATATTACCTTGTGCACCTATCTGACGCCCGTATATTACCTTGTGCACCTATCTGACGCCCGTATATTACCTTGTGCACCTATCTGACGCCCGTATATTACCTTGTGCACCGATGTGACGCCCGTATATTACCGTGTGCACCGATGTGACGCCCGTATATTACCTTGTGCACCTATCTGACGCCCGTATATTACCGTGTGCACCGATGTGACACCCGTATATAACCTTGTGCACCTATCTGACGCCCGTATATTACCGTGTGCACCGATGTGACGCCCGTATATAACCTTGTGCACCTATCTGACGCCCATATATTACCGTGTGCACCTATCTAACGCCCGTATATTACCTTGTGCACCTATCTGACGCCCGTATATAACCTTGTGCACCTATCTGACGCCCATATATTACCGTGTGCACCAATCTGACGGCCGTATATTACCTTGTGCACCTATCTGACGCCCGTATATAACCTTGTGCACCTATCTGACGCCCGTATATTACCGTGTGCACCGATGTGACGCCCGTATATTACCTTGTGCACCTATCTGACGCCCGTATATTACCTTGTGCACCTATCTGACGCCCGTATATAACCTTGTGCACCTATCTGACGCCCATATATTACCGTGTGCACCAATCTGACGGCCGTATATTACCTTGTGCACCTATCTGACGCCCGTATATAACCTTGTGCACCTATCTGACGCCCGTATATTACCGTGTGCACCGATGTGACGCCCGTATATTACCTTGTGCACCTATCTGACGCCCGTATATTACCGTGTGCCGACCACAGTCTGACCGCTAGGGTGGGGCTGGGGCTAGTGACGGTCTGTGATTTATGGCCGGAACTTTCATTGACTGACCAGCACTGACCGTGGGAAACCTGGGGGCTGGTCTAATCAAAGTTGACACTTGTGGGCGGGGGGGGGGGGGGGGGGGGGGCATAGTTGACCCTGCGTCTGGTCCTGTAGGACTTCCTCAGGTGGGGAATTCAGACATTAGGCGGACATTGTGGGGCTAGATGATCAACAGTGGCGTAGTAGGGTAGTTGCTTTAAGGAATTGTTTTTACAGTTGTACTTATTAAAATGTAGAAATAGTTGCTAATTATGTTTATTTCGTATTGGTTCTTGTTTCACCGTTTTAAAGGACGGTAGGCGGGTATCTAAGAATACATATAAGGTCCTTCACCTATAGAGACCTACATCACACTTAAAAAGTCCCAGTCTATAGAGACCTGCATAATGCAGAAACAATTTTCGCTGATGTTACAAGACTGACAGACGACACTTTATCACCAAACGAGCGGAGATGAAACGATACAGCATGTACATCGATCATTTAAGACGAGTTGATGAGAATTTTTATTTAATGATGACGTTTAGCTAATGATTTCTTTATTTTTAGTCTATATAGCCGAAGACGACCAAATTTGGCGCCATCTTCCTGCGTCTTCCACCCAGCAGACGATCAAGATTTGGCGCCATCTTCCTGCGTCTTCCACCAGCAGACGATCAAGATTTGGCGCCATCTTTCTGCGTCTTCTACCAGCAGACGATCAAGATTTGGAGCCATCTTCCTGCGTCTTCTACCAGCAGACGATCAAGATTTGGCGCCATCTTCCTGAGTCTTCCACCGGCAGACGAGGACGGGCACGTTGGAGTGGTGGACGATGTAGTCGCTGACGCTGCCCAGGATGGTCCTGCGGAACTTGCCCAACCCCCTGGTCCCCGTGATGATCAGGGTCGCCCGCTCGTCACGCGCCACACTCACAATCTTTTCACCGGGTTTTCCCGAGGCCGTACGGAACTTCCCGGAAATCTGCAAATAAAAAGCAATTTAAGAAATAATTAACAGGCAATTTAACATTTCAAATTAAAACTTTTATAAGCATGACAAAAAGAGTCTTCAGCAATGAGTTCAATGACCTATGAGACCTACGTACCAACAAGCAGCACGTGAGTATCAGCTCTCAACACATCGAACTAACAAAGCATGCGTGTCAGAAATGATGATTGGTTCAAAGTAACAAAAGTCGTTAGGGAGGTGTGGGACTAGTTCATGGTGATGTGAGGTGGATATTTGGTCCATTAGATGTTTGGTCCATTAGTTGTTTGGTCCATTGGTTGTTTGGTCCATTAGTTGTTTGGTCCATTGGTTGTTTGGTCCATTAGTTGTTTGGTCCATTAGTTGTTTGGTCCATTAGTTGTTTGGTCCATTAGTTGTTTGGTCCATTAGTTGTTTGGTCCATTAGTTGTTTGGTCCATTAGTTGTTTGGTCCAATGGTCCATTAGTTGTTTGGTCCATTAGTTGCTTGGTCCATTAGTTGTTTGGTCCAATGGTCCATTAGTTGTTTGGTCCATTAGTTGTTTGGTCCATTAGTTGTTTGGTCCATTAGTTGTTTGGTCCATTAGTTGTTTGGTCCATTAGTTGTTTGGTCCATTAGTTGTTTGGTCCATTAGTATTTTGGTCCATCTTTTGTTTGAATGTAATTGGCCTGCCGTTTCTTCATGTCGTCCTCACAGATTGCCCCCCCCCCCACCAGAGTTTGTTCTTCTTTCACAGTACATTAACCCTTCCTTCCCCCCCCCCCCCTCACTATCCCCCATTCCCTATGTTGTAAAATTGTAACCAAGGAAAGTTAACCATCCCAACAACTAGCGGGGGGGGGGGTGATCTCAAACGTACTAAACGTACTGCTAGTACAGTGTTTGCGGGAGAAGGCCCGAGTTATTGTTCTTGGGTTGGTCGGGACCTGATAGAGATGGGGTTTTCAAATGGTGAGACTTTTGGAATGTTAGATACATGGGCGGGGTTGACAGGTGCTACAATGGGATAGCCGAGCCTCGCTAGAGCGGGTGGGGGTGGATGAAGACGGGTACAACAATGTGACAGCTGATGTTTATATATTCAATAGGGCAGGGAAGGGGGTGGTGTGAAAGCAGGAAGTCTTTGTTAGGTAACCAGAGGCGCGGCATTTAGTCAGGGCATAAGTTGAGACAGTTGGGGGGTGGAGGGGATGGGGGTGGAGGGGGTGCAGGTGTCGGGCATGGCCGTCACGGATGAATAGACATGGGATGACCTCATTTAAAGCTAGGTGTGTGAGGGATAGTTTGTTCATCTGAGTCGTGTTGTTATCCTAGTTCTATTTTGGTACCTCTAGGTTTGCCAGTAAGGCTGATCGCGCTACCCTAATTCTGACGCAGGCGTTAACTAAATCCTAACATTCACGTTTTCTTTCATGTTATATATATATATATATATATATATATATATATATATATATATATATATATATATATATATATATATATATATATATATATATATTAGTGGTTTTTTTTTGTAAAAGTTGTATTATTTGTAACAGTTGTATTTATCGATTACTAATTAATTTTAATTCAATAATTAATGAGCTCCGATCAACTTAATTAGACAAGAAATGGGTCTAGGTGATAACTTAGCCTCATTAGAGAATTGTTAACAAACATGCGGTTGTGTCCCTTGCTGCAATAAATCCAAACAAACACATTCAACGTAGTGCGGCTGTCCCCGTGACGTCACCGTTACGTGTCAGACGTCAATTTACTGCCAGGCGTGAGGATTTGACCAAACGACCGAGTGATTAGGCTTGGGATTAACTGGGGTTTATCTGCCCGTCACATTTATAATCTGAACCACTTTGTCCCGCTGACTCAATCCTTAAACTCATCCGGCGTTAATCCATCTGTACCACCCTTAAACCGTTAATCCATCTGTACCACCCTTAAACCGTTAATCCATCTGTACCACCCTTAAACCGTTAATCCATCTGTACCACCCTTAAACCGTTAATCCATCTGTACCACCCTTAAACTGTTAATCCATCTGTACCACCCTTAAACCTTTAATCCATCTGTACCACCCTTAAACCTTTAATCCATCTGTACCACCCTTAAACCGTTAATCCATCTGTACCACCCTTAAACCGTTAATCCATCTGTACCACCCTTAAACCGTTAATCCATCTGTACCACCCTTAAACTGTTAATCCATCTGTACCAACCTTAAACCGTTAATCCATCTGTACCACCCTTAAACCGTTAATCCATCTGTACCACCCTTAAACCGTTAATCCATCTGTACCACCCTTAAACCGTTAATCCATCTGTACCACCCTTAAACTGTTAATCCATCTGTACCAACCTTAAACCGTTAATCCATCTGTACCACCCTTAAACCGTTAATCCATCTGTACCACCCTTAAACCGTTAATCCATCTGTACCACCCTTAAACCGTTAATCCATCTGTACCACCCTTAAACTGTTAATCCATCTGTACCACCCTTAAACCTTTAATCCATCTGTACCACCCTTAAACTGTTGATCTAAATGTACCACACGAATAACTTTAAGCCGGCGTTTGGGGGGTGTGGTTGTCGAATAGGGCGTTTGTTATAGGGCTGGTAAGTAGGCCACCAACCAGTTCTATGGCTCATGCAGGCTTTATTGAGCCGTAGAACGGGTTTGGTGACCTACTTACCAGCCTTATAACTGAGGCCACGGTTGATGCTAGTGAACCTGAACTGGGACGGGCCGTAATTGGATAGGAAGACATTAGAGTCACACCCCACTGTCTGCAGGCTACGGTCGTCTCGTATTTGACCTGCGTGTGGGTGAGACACCACCTGACCTGGGTGTGGGTGAGACACCACCTGACCTGGGTGTGGGTGAGACACCACCTGACCTGCGTGTGGGTGAGACACCACCTGACCTGGGTGTGGGTGAGACACCACCTGACCTGGGTGTGGGTGAGACACCACCTGACCTGGGTGTGGGTGAGACACCACCTGACCTGGGTGTGGGTGAGACACCACCTGACCTGGGTGTGGGTGAGACACCACCTGACCTGGGTGTGGGTGAGACACCACCTGACCTGGGTGTGGGTGAGACACCACCTGACCTGGATGTGGGTGAGACACCACCTGACCTGGGATGTAAATTTTGCTGTACAAGCAATGAGATATCCTATTGTATTCGGACCAATGTAGGCGTTTGTAGTGAGCGGGCGGGGAGCTTGGTGTAGAAAGTTCTAGACCTTAGAAACGCGAGTCTTGTCTTGTTCGTTGTAGTGGTGGGATGGTTGGGGCGTGGAATCTACAGTCGTAAAGAATTGCGGGCTTTGTCCGTGGCTCACATTGTGATGTAAACGTTGAGGAGAATTTGTATGGATTTTTTTTTACTGCTGAAGACACAGCAGGCGAAGTATTGCAAGCAGCTCTCGAGGACGGAGTACAATTTTGGAGCTAATATGAAAGTTTGCCTGCCCATCAAAGAGAAACTACGCCTCCCCTCCCCTACAACCCCACACCCTACAACCCCCCCCCCTTCACTTCGCCCCTTATCTCATCCCACGTGATTTGTAAACAGAGTTTAAAAAAGCTGAGCTAAAAACAGCTGTTAAATGTAAATCACTTAAAGCTGAGCAGCTTTTAGGTTTACGAGATGACGTCATTTGTTTACTGGAGTTATGGGCCCTGCCTGAAAGCTAAAATTAGACTTTAGCCTTGTCCGTGGTATTTAAATGGACAAGATTAAAAGTCAACAAAGCTCAGGTGTTTTTTTTTTTCTTCTTGAAATTTTTTCATCAAATTTTTAAAGTTTAAAGACACATTATCAACAAATTGTAGCGAGTTTAGGTCAATTATTATTTGGCGGCTGTTTTAGTGAGCAGTGTTTCTTTCAGACTTTTTTCTCCGGGGGGGGGGGGGGGTAGACTTTCTTCGGGGGCGGACACTGTTAAAGGTATATATTTTCTATATAAATTATATAAATTTTATTTCGTTCGGTTGTTTGGTCCATTAGTTGTTTGCCCCCCCCCCCCCCCCCCCCCGAAGAGATGCCTGGAAGAAGCTCTGTTAGTGAGTCAGCAGTCAGAGAACTAAACCCTAAATCAAACGTGTGTCAAATATAAACCCATGGCGGGGCAGCAGGCAGGCTGATGAAGGCACGAGGGGGTAGGTCTAAAAAAATTGTTGAGCCACGATTCTGTCTTGTAGACACCGCACTAGGTGGACGAGATCGATACTAGAATAATGCCAGATCTACGATTCTGTCTTGTAGACACCGCACTAGGTGGACGAGATCGATACTAGAATAATGCCAGATCTACGATTCTGTCTTGTAGACACCGCACTAGGTGGACGAGATCGATACTAGAATAATGCCAGATCTACGGGGCTCGTAGGTCCTTGTTTTCTGGGCCCAAGTTCAAGGTCACTCAGTACCATCGGTGCTTGAGGTTAAAGGTTTAAAGTTAATTTGATTGTACCCCCCCCCCCCCCCTCATCACATGAAAACAGACATGAACCTGTAGACCCCCCCCCCCCGCCCATCTACAACACCAACTGGCAGAAACATCGACAACATCACCCTTCACTTTGACAACTTTCGCCCCACCTAGACCCTACCCCTGGTTCTTACCCTACCCCTCCCGACACTTACCCCCCTCCCGACACTTAACCCCCCTCCCGACACTTACCCCCCTTGACAGCAGCTTCTCCCTGTATTTTTTCTCCAGGTTGTCGACCCTTTCCTCCAGCTCCTTCAACAGCTGCTCCACCACAGCTGGGCCTGAAACACACGGCTACATTAGCACACGGCTGTATTAGCACACGGCTACATTAGCACACGGCTACATTAGCACACGGCTACATTAGCACACGGCTGTATTAGCACACGGCTACATTAGCACACGGCTACATTAGCACACGGCTACATTAGCACACGGCTACATTAGCACACGGCTACATTAGCACACGGCTACATTAGCACACGGCTACATTAGCAGACGGCTACATTAGCACACGGCTACATTAGCACACGGCTACATTAGCACACGGCTGTATTAGCACACGGCTACATTAGCACACGGCTACATTAGCACGCGGCTACATTAGCATGCGGCTATATTAGCACACGGCTACATTAGCACACGGCTACATTAGCACACGGCTACAGCTACATTAGCCCACGGCTACATTAGCACACGGCTACATTAGCACACGGCTACATTAGCACACGGCTACATTAGCACACGGCTGTATTAGCACACGGCTGTATTAGCACACGGCTGTATTAGCACACGGCTGTATTAGCACACTGCTATGTCAGATCACGGCTACATTAGCACACGGCTATAACATACATCTGACAGAGCAAGTCTGAGATATAAACATCTTCATCAGCACCGTGATAGATACGTCAAACATTAATGTTTTTTGCTTGCTATTTAAATAATCGATGTAAATATTGTAGTGTAAAAACATTAAAGTTTAACTTGTGAAACTATCACATTTATTCCCCAGGTTTAACATGTGATATTATCACACGTTAAACCTGGTTTTACCGTTTAACAAAGACACTCTGACATGTACAAGTTAGTTAGAGATACACGTACAATGGTCGTAACTCAACTCGGAGTAGACTGTGGTGTTGGTTAGTGCAGCTTTTGTGTGGTTGGTTGAAAGTTGTGAAGTTTGTTACAGTTAGTGTTAAGTTTGTTACAGTTAGTGTTAAGTTTGTTACAGTTAGTATTAAGTTTGTTACAGTTAGTGTTAAGTTTGTTACAGTTAGTGTTAAGTTTGTTACAGTTAGTGTTAAGTTTGTTACAGTTAGTGTTAAGTTTGTTACAGTTAGTGTTAAGTTTGTTACAGTTAGTGTTAAGTTTGTTACAGTTAGTGTTAAGTTTGTTACAGTTAGTGTTAAGTTTGTTACAGTTAGTGTTAAGTTTGTTACAGTTAGTGTTAAGTTTGTTACAGTTAGTATTAAGTTTGTTACAGTTAGTGTTAAGTTTGTTACAGTTAGTGTTAAGTTTGTTACAGTTAGTATTAAGTTTGTTACGTTTAGTGTGAAATGTGATTACAGTTAACGGTTACTGTAAAGTTTGTTTCTGCTAATGTTAAGTATCAAGTATCATAAAAGTTTGTTTGATTGGTAAAACACACGAAACAGCCCTGAGACTAAATATACATCTCGTGATGTTTCTAAAACACAACCTTTGAAAATAAATGTACAAAAAAAAAAAAAAAAAAAAATAAACCAACAACCCTCAAACGGCTGCGACCATTAAAAAAATTACAGCAACATATCTTTACCAAACCAAATTTCCTTGTGCTGGCTAAGAGAAAAAAAAATACGATCGATTTGGGCTCGTGTGGGATAGGTTATCGCCCCTGTCTATCCTAGTCGGAATGCGGAAATTCAAGGGCGATCACTCTCACGAGTTTAAAGGCTGTTATAAACTGGGGGGGGGGGGGGGTTGGGAGGGGGTGGATGTAAATAAGAATCAATCAATAGACACTTCCGTGACGTCAGTGGGTCAATTGTGGCCATAGTTGTTGTGACGTCATACAGTGACAACCGTCCACGATTTAGCGACCGATTCCAAGATCATAGACGTTTAGGGTGGTCAACATTTTGTATCAACATTTCGTATCAACATTTTGTATCAACAATTTGTAAGTTAAAATAAAATAGCTGACCAGCCATGCATTGCTTGTAAAGAGAAACCAACCGTGACTGAAGCAAACACTGGAAGAGAAGCCAAAGAGGAAGAGAAAATAAAAAAAAAAAAACAATCTGGCAACATGTCACGAACAGCCAATGAGAAATTAGACACTTTTTTTAAAAACACAGGGGAGACAATTAAATACCGTTAAAACGTTTTTTTTTTTAAATACAAAGACAACTGAATAAAGTTTTTAAAAGAACAAAGAAACACCATCAAAGAAAATTCAAAGAGTAATAAAAATCACAGAGAGAAGCAAAAATATTTGTTAGAGATTTTAAAAAAAGTTTTTTTTAAATTTAAGCACAAAAAGGAGACAATGAGAAAATAAAGTTGTAAACTTCAAAGGGAAGCAATATGTTAGTTTTATAGCTCAAAGAGAGATAATGCGGGCATTTTTTTTTTTAAATAATTCAAGGGAGGCAATAGGTTAGTTTTAAAAAAGCACAAAGGGAGACAATGAGAGATCAAGTTCGACCACTCACGCCCCACTTTCCTTGACTCACTTGCCATGGTGAAGTCGTAGGTCTCTGGCACGTGAATCAGCAGAAGATAGTCGTTCTCTTTGTAGATGTGTTCACAGTACCCTGGGGAGATATGGGCACATGTGAGTACATACAGGTGAGGACAGGTGAGTGGAGCATGTAGATGTGTACATACAGGTGAGTGTGTACATACAGATGAGTGGAGCATGTAGATGTGTACATACAGGTGAGTGTGTACATACAGATGAGTGGAGCATGTAGATGTGTACATACAGGTGAGTGTGTACATACAGATGAGTGGAGCATGTAGATGTGTACATACAGATGAGTGTGTATATACAGATGAGTGTGTATATACAGATGAGTGTGTATATACAGATGAGTGTGTACATACAGGTGAGTGTGTATATACAGGTGAGTGTGTGCATACAGGTGAGTGTGTACATACAGGTGAGGACAGGTGAGTGGAGCATGTAGATGTGTACATACAGATGAGTGTGTATATACAGATGAGTGTGTATATACAGGTGAGTGTGTGCATACAGGTGAGTGTGTACATACAGGTGAGTGTGTGCATACAGGTGAGTGTGTATATACAGGTGAGTGTGTGCATACAGGTGAGTGTGTACATACAGGTGAGTGTGTGCATACAGGTGAGTGTGTATATACAGGTGAGTGTGTACATACAGGTGAGTGTGTACATACAGGTGAGTGTGTGCATACAGGTGAGTGTGTATATACAGATGAGTGTGTATATACAGATGAGTGTGTATATACAGGTGAGTGTGTACATACAGGTGAGTGTGTACATACAGGTGAGTGTGTGCATACAGGTGAGTGTGTACATACAGGTGAGTGTGTGCATACAGGTGAGTGTGTATATACAGGTGAGTGTGTGCATACAGGTGAGTGTGTACATACAGGTGAGTGTGTGCATACAGGTGAGTGTGTATATACAGGTGAGTGTGTACATACAGGTGAGTGTGTACATACAGGTGAGTGTGTGCATACAGGTGAGTGTGTACATACAGGTGAGTGTGTACATACAGGTGAATGTGTACATACAGGTGGGTGTGTACATACAGGTGAGTGTGTACATACAGGTGGGTGTGTACATACAGGTGAGTGTGTACATACAGGTGAGTGTGTACATACAGGTGAGTGTGTACATACAGGTGAGTGTGTACATACAGGTGAGTGTGTACATACAGGTGAGTGTGTACATACAGGTGAGTGTGTACATACAGGTGAGTGTGTACATACAGGTGGGTGTGTACATACAGGTGAGTGTGTACATACAGGTGAGTGTGTACATACAGGTGAGTGTGTACATACAGGTGAGTGTGTACATACAGGTGAGTGTGTACATACAGGTGAGTGTGTACATACAGGTGAGTGTGTACATATAGGTGAGGACAGGTAGGTGTGTTCACAGTACCCTGGGGAGATATGGGTACAGGTGAGTAACTACAGGTGAGGGGATAGGTATCTTTGTTCACAGTACCCTGTGGAGGTACAGGCACAGGTGTGTACATACAGGTGGGGGGGGCAGGTAGGTGAGTAGGTGTTATGACGTCATCCGTATGGTTGGTACTGATGACTGCAGTAAGAGGTTTAAGAAAACAAACGCAATTTCAACTCCTTAATTTTAATGGTTGATACTTTAGTCTTGGATAAATAAGAAATAAACTTGAACACCAATAGCGGCCAGCCTTATGGGCCAGCCCTACTACACTTTACAAAACAAAACACGTCTACATCCTCACAAGGCTGACGTTTAACTGTCTCTCTGGCCTTCACCGCCCAGCCTGGGGTCTATGCCCTGGCTTATACTTCGGGGTATCTCATTACGTGTATCCCCAAATTTGCATCCCAGGTTAGTTGGGTTCAACTAAGGGCAAAGACCAGGCGACCGGTACTTCACCTAGCCTGCAGATCTCTACGTGGGGTGGGGATGTCTTCATATCGGGTTACGGCTGTCCAAGTTCAGGTGTGGGACGGGAGGGGGGTGGGAGGGGGGTGAGTAACCCACTTGCATCAACAATGGACTCAGTTATAACAGTAGGTGTATAATTATATAGGTGGGTGGGGGAAGGTAGGTTTGCTTACAGTACACAGGGGAGACATACGTACAGGTGGATGGGGCAGGTAGGTGTGAACATATAGGTAGGTGTGTAGAGCCTATCTAGTCTGTAATGATGTGTAGATGCTAAGCCTCGTTAGTGCTGTGTCGGCTGATATAAACACGTCAAAGTTCGGTAACTCTGAGATTCCCCTCACTAATTTGGTTAGAGTTATCTATCAGAAAAACCTTCTAGAAGCTCAGCTACGACGGCCTGAAACGAGCAGTTCGGGCCAGCTTAGAAAAATGTGTCAACACCAACTGGTCTTAGGTTCCCTTAGTCCATCCCTCCTAACAATTATTCCACGCCCCCCCCCCCCCCCCCCTTTCATCGAGCCCTATCACATCTGATTTCTAAGACATATCGACCCGCCCAGCCACGATAGAGCTAGAGTCTGGTGCTAGAAACGGAATTCCCGGACAAAAACTTCCCCACCCAATCCTATCAGAGGCGGCGCCGACACAAAAGTTTATTGTTGGTTTGTCATGTCGTGATCAGAGAATATCACAGCAAGTTGTCTTTCCCTTGTTCAAGCTAAAGTATTCCCCCACAAGTTGTCTTTCCCTTGTTTAAGCTAATGTATTCACAGCAAGTTGTCTTTCCCTTGTTCAAGTTAATGTATTCCCCCCACAAGTTGTCTTTCCCTTGTTCAAGCTAAAGTATTCCCAGCAAGTTGTCTTTCCTCGTTTAAGCTAATGTATTCCCAGCAAGTTGTCTTTCCCTTGTTTAAGCTAATGTATTCACAGCAAGTTGTCTTTCCCTTGTTTAAGCTAATGTATTCACAGCAAGTTGTCTTCCCCTTGTTTAAGCTAATGTATTCCAAGCAAGTTGTATTTCCCTTGTTTAAGCTAATGTATTCCCAGCAAGTTGTCTTTCCCTTGTTCAAGCTAATGTATTCCAAGCAAGTTGTATTTCCCTTGTTTAAGCTAATGTATTCCCAGCAAGTTGTCTTTCCCTTGTTCAAGCTAATGTATTCCCCCCACAAGTTGTCTTTTCTTGAGAAAAACCAGAGTTATGCCACTTGCCCGTGAGCTAATGGAAATATTGGCACAAAGTCCATGGATCGATACACTTTAAATTGGGTAGGTTTATAGACAAGCATCAAGTCCTAAGGTCTATAGACTTTAAATTGGGTAGGTTTATAGACAAGCATCAAGTCCTAAGGTCTATAGACTTTAGATTGGGTAGGTTTATAGACAAGCATCAAATCCTGCGGTATATAGACTTTAAATTGGGTAGGTTTATAGACAAGCATCAAGTCCTAAGGTCTATAGACTTTAAATTGGGTATGTTTATAGACAAGCATAAAGTCTATAGACTTGCTAATTATACTTCAGCTACCATTTGTATTTACAAGAGCAGCTGAATGGCCAACATGTTAGTTTTTGTCTCTCACGGTTTCCCAGCTCATCAAATACATCAGTTACTTTCTAATGTAATCAAACATCTTGATATAATGTTGGCGTGTTGTTGATACTGTGGTGTTGATAAAATGTTGCGATGGTGTTGATAAAATGTTGCTTTGGTGTTGATACTGTGGTGTTGATACTGTGGTGTTGATTAGGTTTAATAAGTTGGTTCACTCCCCAATATTGACGTGATTGTCGGCTGGACATTAGCTTGAAATTTTCTTCTTAAAGATAATTGGTAAACTAATTATCTTTTGTGTTCTTTAAAATGTTCTGTGGGAGAGAAACTAATTAATTAAAATTATTTTTACTTCGTCAGCTTAGATGGCGCTGTGTGTGGGGTTTTGTTGTTGTATGGAGTTTGTGAGGGGAAATGTGTGTGTGGGGGTGGGGGAGGGGGGGGGGGGGTATTGGGAGTAGTGGAAGTAAAGTGAGCTGTAAAAGGGGGGGGGGGGAGATGGGAAGGGCCTAGACGCACACAGCCACACGTCACGTCACCAACAACCAACAACCAACAACCGTCAACCATCAACCATCAACCAACAACCGTCAAACATCAACCAACAACCGTCAACCATCAACCATCAACCATCAACCGTCAAACATCAACCAACAACCGTCAACCATCAACCATCAACCAACAACCGTCAACCATCTCTCTGTAAACCCCACCTCTTTAATTCCGCTCCTTCCCCATCGACTTCCTCTCACACACAGACACACACATACACAAACGCACACACACACCTTTATGTGTGTTCCTCAAGACACTGTCTGTACCTGTATGTATTTGAAAGAGTTTTCACCAACACAATTTCGTTTGTTTGAAATGACGATCAACTTTGTATCAAAGAGTCGTTAATGTTTCAACTACTGAGATCTCGAAGTCCCATCCAGAGTCTAGACTCTAGACTAGACAACAACTTGCTATTGATGGTCTAGACTCTAGACTACAAATACCTTGTTCCGTATCTCTTCGATTAGTTTTTTCAACTACCCAGTACCGGATGTATGGCGATCTGTCACGTGGTAGAAAAGAACTGTTTACTTCCGGTCACTGCCAAGACCGACTTCAGTTCCAGACATCAACAGGCTGACCTATTTCCTGTTTTGTCCAGCTTTGTCGTTTGTCATCAGTGACCTTGACCTTTGTCGGTCGTCACCAGTGACCTTGACCTTTGTCGTTCGTCACCAGTGACCTTGTTTGGCTGGAATTGATCATACTCTTGTTCTCAAACACGTCATCACCGTGAGACCACATGACGTCAGACCACATGACGAAACATTAACAGAGGCGTTAGATGAAGGCCACACCGGCACTCCTGGTGTACACCATGTACTGAGAGACACAGAGCACGCGATAAAAATCTGGCCAACATCTTTACTGACACGGCTCAGGTTAAGGGTCACGTGACCTCAACAATTCATCACCAGTTTAAACATCTCCACCTAAAGTCGTCTGTCGCTCCACCCCCCCCCCCCCCTCCACTCTCCACTTCCACCTCCCCACCCCTAAAGTCCTGCAGGGTGTTCAACTCGACATTTATCACGGCCGCCATCTTGTTTTGTT